TAAAGTGGAGGGAAGATCATACTAGCCCAGAGAATTGAGAGGCAAAAAGTTCTGTAAGCGTATCCACTCACAAGCAGAAAAAGATACATCAGAACACTATGTCCTGAGAAATATCACGGCAGCACCCCACAATCATCCCTGCAAACTAAGTATTGCAAGGGACCTGGCTAACTGAAAACAAATTTGATGAAAGACTATTACTTGTATCACATCAAATATTATACTGATTCCAAAAAATTAGTCACTCTTGAGAGGCTACGTGACCAGGTTCCCCAGACAGAGAGATACTGTTCTGTCTTCATTTTACCAATATAATGCCTAGATTTGTTATGAGGAATGAAATGTCATCTTTCTTTGGAGTATACAACAGCAGATGCCAGCTCCCAAATCGGTCTCAGTTCATTTGAAAGCTTATAAAAAGGCTTTCAGAGTCAAGAGTGGCCAAAGCATTTCAAAGGCAATTTATTCAACCTGTTAGATGTGAGAAGATGCCACGTAACTCTGAAGAATGATTCTGTTCATCTTCAAGTAGTCCAGGCCTTCTCATCTACAGGTCAGGCTTTAGAAAAAAGCCAAGTATGAAATGGTCATTTTCAAAACTAAAAGAGGAATTAGCTTAAATGTGAAACAAATGGTTATTGAAATTACTTAGCTGAATGTTCTACTTATTGTAACCTGGAATGAAGTGATCAATACTATCTTAATATTACCTATCTTAAGTAAGCATTCTCATCAGCTACCACATGATTTAGAAGACTGTTGGACTAATTGACTTATCATACCTGGCAACATTAATTCAATAGCATTCCAAAGTAATAATCACGATCAATCTAATTATATCAGCAGTCTCCTGTGAGTACCAATTATTTTAATTAAAATATTAAATATTTAGAAAATAGATAGGAACATATATTAATAATTTATATACTTAATTTTAATCTACCTGAACAAGCATAATTCCTGAACAACAAAGCTTACTTTCTTTGTATCCCACTTTAATATTTTCCATCAGGTTTCAAGACATCAATCTAATACCAATGAAAAAAGCCCTATTTATATTGTTCTACTTTTATATAAGTGTATATGGGCTTGCAGACCATTATTAGTCATATTCACTTAAGAACTCTTCCAAGAATATTCAAGTGATAGTCTCCCTATTTTGTAAATGCAAACAGGTCAGTTTGGGTTTCCTATAAAACTACATTAACCGTCTATGTGGTTGGGTTCTAACACTAAAGCCCTCAATTCCTGTGTATTCTAAACAAGCGAATCCCTTCTCATCTCTTTTACAGGAAAATTACATGAATCATTCACATACTAAGGCAGTATCATTTGGGAGCTTTTTACCTTTTTTTTTCCCCCCATTCTTTTTAAAGCTAATCTAGAAATCTCCCTCCAGATTCTTCACCATGTTTCACAGGAAATAAAGGAAACTTGCTCAGCTTATGAGAAACAATCTCAGAATCATTTGAATTGGAAAAGACCTCCAAAATCATCAAATCCAACCTTTGACCAAACAACACCTTATCAACTAGATAAGTGCTAGGCCCAGTAATTTCTTGGACACTTCCAGGGACAGTGAATCCACCACCTTCATGGGAAGTCCGTTCTAATATTTAGCAATCCTTTCTGTGACAAAATTCTTCCTGATGTCCAATCTGAACATGCCCTAGGACAGCTTAAGGCTACATTCTCTCATCCTGTCACTAGTTGCCCGGGGGAAGACACCAACCCCCACCTTGCTACAACCTCAAATCAACATGCTCAGTTCTCTTGAATCAGCATGATTTAAATACCAAGGGAGCAAAAAAATCATTTGAGGCAACCATAATGTGATTAGAATACCAGGTCTGCTTTCTAAACAACTAACAAATATGAATCAAATTGGAGGACAAGAAAGCACACCATAGGCTATGAACTAGTATATTCAAGCACACCCAGAAGGTCTGACTACCCAAAAAAATCCTGAAAGGTTTTAACAATAGTCAAGCAGTTTCATGTTAAAATAAGCCATCCTTGAAAGTTGTCATTCAAAAAGCATTTGGGATGGCTTATTAAGATTACATTTCATACTGAAGTCCTCATTCAAAGTCAACAAACATCGATGCAATCATCATATCCATAATCTTTATCCTCTGATGAATATACATTAAGATATACTATTTTAATATAAAATTATGAGTACTAATTTTCTGTAACATGAGACATCAAGCTACTCTGTACCAGATGCCCTGCATGCAATAGAAGACATGAGGAAAGAACATTTCCAGATGCAAGTTGAATACTGATAACACTAAAGTGCATACAGCAAGGTATATACTCAGCCTAATGAACAAGCAAATTGGGGAGAAAAGCGCTTGACATGCAACATGTAAAAATACTGTTAACAGAGCTGTAACTTCGCTTCGTTTTTTTCTTAAATAAACTTAACAGGAAATTCAAAAAATCATTTTGTATTAATATTGTAGTGATTTGTTTAGGTGGATTTTTTTGTTTGGTTTGTTTTTTGTTTTGTTTAATAAACATAGATAAGGAGGCAAGGAGTACAGTTATGGTTCATAAATGTGAAGAACTAGCATATCACTGATTCATTCACCACTAACTGCAACTCTTACGCCCTCCAAGAACTGGATGCTTTGCAGGTACCCTGGCTCTGCAAGAACTGTCCTAGAGCTTCTAGCCTATTTCTGGTCAAAAGTGTGTCCTGCTGCCCAGGAAGGGGGCAAAGAATAAAACCCAACAGAAGCAAGTGATGCATAATACAACTGTTCACCACCCGCTGACTGATGCCCAAACCATCCCCAAGCAGCAAATGGCCCCACCTGGCCAACTCCCCCCAGTTTATATATTGAACCTGATGTTCTATGGTATGGAATATCCCTCTGGACAGTTCAGGTCAGCTGTCCTGGCTATTCTCCCTCCCAGCTTCCTGTGGACCTCCTCACTGGCAGAGCATAGGAATCTGAAAAGTCCTTGATTTAGAGCAAGCACTACTGAGGAACAATTAAAACAGTGCGTTATCAACATTATTCTCATATTAAATCAAAAACACAGCATATACAACCTATTGAGAAGATTAACTCTATCCCAGCCAAAACCAGGACAGAGGACTCCAATATGAATTAGAGCCTAATCGGAGTCTACAGTTACCTAATCCAAGTTGTCTACAGTCCACCTTCCTCAATTATCTAGTTCAAGTCTTCAAGGGGCTAGGAACCACAGCATAGCATAACATGCAAAGAAAGTCTCACAGACCAAAAATATCAAAGTCTGATGTAAATTCCACCCTTGAAACAGATTATCATTTGGGGGAGAAAAAAATCGCAGAACAAAACAAAAATTAAAGATGAGAAGAGACCTGTTAACTATGTGCTAATATCTCCCAGCATCTTGTTAGAAGACAGACATATTTGCAAAGTTCTTTATACTCGCACACTCAAAACAGTTATTAAATTAGTTTCCTTTCCTTGAACATATCATACCTAATAGCACTAAATGTCAGGTTTCAAAATTCAACTTCTGTTCCTCGTAGTCTAATTTTTGTCACAATTTTCCCTATAATCTACTTCTGAAACATTTTAAAACTGAGAAATATTTTCACTGTTTACTTCACAGAAACAGTTAAAGGTATTTCAATGTAAACACTTACTTCCTTTTCTAAAACTATTTTAAGGAAGATTTTAGCACTGAAAATAGTAACCTGTAACTTGTCTTCTTAGCTCATGTTAAAACTGGAAGCAACGATGCGGAAACATTTCAGCAATATCAAGTAAACGGCAATTGAGAACTACAATAGCATCAGGCATTTGAGAGGTAGATACAAATTTCCCTGATTTGAGGATCTATCAGTTGGCAAGAGGCAATTAAAATACACTTATTCCTCTCCTATGAAGAGAATACCAGGCAGCATTCTCCCTGCTGGTTCCTGATGCCCTGGCCCAAGTTCCTTTACTCCACAAAATTTCAGCTACAGCACACAGAAGGGATGGGCCAGTTCTCCCCTCACTACCCTTCAGTTGGTAAACTGGGAGGCAATGGATGCTACCTATGCTAAGCAGCTTTTATGGCAAAGCAGAATATAATTTTTTTTCACCGAAAGGAAAACAGTTTTGAGATTCAAAAATACTCCCAAACCAGTAGTTCAATGAGCATGAAAATTAATGGGAAGCTTGTCTACAGATCCATCTCTTGCAGTTGAGTTCTTGTTTTAATCGAAGTTTCTCCTCTGTGAAGTGTCTACACATTTGTCTGCCGTGTGGGTTTTTAGGTGTCTATTAATACTCTAGCATCTGCTGGAGTTCAGGTATGTGGGGAAAGCACCTTATGGGTCTCCCTCCTCTGCTGCTTGTGAAACTTGTTACAACCTCATCACTTCAGAGTGATCTGCTTTTCCATCCTTGGTGAAACCAGGCACTAAGTTCGGGGAAGGGGCGTTCAGCAGAGAAGCAATGTTCACATAAACCTTGTTTTGTTAGGAAACACTGAAAAAATGTCACTCAGAAATAAAACACAAGATCATGGGGAAGCTATTTACACCTGTGTATTTAGTTAATTATAACTATACAATTAGCTATGTATGTAGTTATAAACATATATGGATCTATATAATATATTGTTATAAATAATAAAGGTAATACTGTGTATATATTTGTATATACAGTTCATTATATAATTGTTGTCATTCTGTTACAGATAACTGTGTGTGCATAGCTATCATCACACACATTTGAGGTAAGGAAATACAAACTGTAAAAGATAACCTGCCCAGAAACGTGGAATTCAAGGAATTCTGTAGCTCTGTAAGGAGTTTGCCCTTCAGAGGAGCGTGCCCGAGGAGACAGAATCAATCAGGTTGGAAAAGACCTCTGCGATCATCGAGTCCAACCCCTGAACAGCCCGGAGCCCCTGACCTTGTGGGGCCTTCTCTGCGCCCCGCCGGGCCCCGCCGCTCCCGGCCCGGGAGTGCCCCGTCCTTCCCCCGCGGGGCGGCGGGCACTTGCCTCCCATTCCCGCAGGAAGCGCTGGGCCTCGGCGGGCCCGGCCGCCCTGTGCCTCCGGAACTCCTCCTTGACGTAGCGGTCGCCCAGGTCCCGCAGGGCGGGCGGCAGCGCCCGGTGCAGCTGCAGGATGCGGCGGTAGAGGCGCCGCGCGGCGCCCGGCGCGGCCATGGCGATGGCGGCGAAAGCGCGGCCCGGCCGGGCCCCGGAGCAGCCGCGCCGGGGCGGGGCGAAGGGCCGGGCGGCGCCGGGCCGCCTCTGAGAGCGCCCGGCTAAACACAACGCTGTCGGAAAATGCTGCCGATACACTCAGAGCCTGCGTTTTGCAGATAATGTTTAAAACATTACCGAGAAATGCAGTTGCAAATAGTACTGTCTTCACCACCATATGAACAAACTATGCCCTTTATACCAGGATAGAACGGGGCACAAGTGAGTTAGTCCACTGAGCACAAGCTTCATATGCTTAAATTTGTTTTAACTGCATTTCCAAGCGTAGGTTGAGAGACGAGAGAAGACACAGAAAGAAACCTTCCTGCCTCTGTGGGCCTGCTCGGAACTTTGTGCCACCGTGTCGTCACTACCAAGCTCCTGCTTTCTCTTACCTCCCTCTTAGAGCCCAAGCTCCAACTCCCCAGCTCTCCATAAGGTTTTTTCAGCAGCTTAACATCAAATCCAGCTCGCCCACGTGAAAAAAATCTTCATGAAAATCAACAGTCGTAGATATTTTGGAAAAAGCAGAGTCAGGCAGTGGCCACAGTGGCAAAATTCCTGCCTCATCACGGGTGCGTGTTAAGCTCCTTCCATCCAGTCAAATCGCTGGTGCTTCAAAACAGAAAGGAAATATTTCTATAGGCCCAGGTAGCGTTAAGCTTTCCCTGGATACTAGGAAATGTCATAAAAATGTATTGTCTCGTCAAAAGCCCAAGTCATTAAGTGAGAGGAAGAGAGGAAAGAGCAAAGTACAGACTATTTTGCTGACTACAATTTCTTGATGTTTATTTATTCTTTTAAGCGCTTCAGTGATGGAAAACTAAAGTTCCTAGTAACACTAAGTTACTGAAGTAAAACAAAATTGTTATCGTTTCACTTTCTATCACTGTCAATTTCCAGTCTTCTTCATGCCTGTGATGCTCTCGAAGTGAGCAGTTGGACCCTGGCAGAGGAGGTCTGATCTTCAAATTGATTGATCTTGCTATATTTTCAAACTGTATTTTCTGCAGACATTTCTTTGAGGAAGAGTTTCTGGACTTAATGCATTTTGTCTACCCTGTGTCCTTCAATATGTTCACAGTTTAAAAAGATTGAGGCTAAAAAACTGATTTGCTTTATCAGTTTTATTTGCAATGATGCAATTCCACTGAGTCATCTCAGAGTGCATTCATTTACAGAAGTTTTTTAAATATTTTATTGTATATTGACCACCATCCTCATGGTGCACGTTGAGAGTTTTCTCCTTGCTATATCCACCCTGTGTAGTTTTTAAGAGTCCTTTCCTTTAAGTGGCCTGCTTAAGCCCTCTGCTGGGCGCTCACTTTGAGGCTCAAATATCAACTCAGCCAGATCTGTGACCTTTAATAGTTTCTACACCTTTTCTTTCTGTCCAGAGAGACCAAAAGCCATTTTTTATTGGGTCTGGCTGAGATGGCGTTCATTTCCCCCACAGTGCTGTGCTTTGCATTGGTAGCTAGAAACGTGGTGATAACACAGCAGTGTTTTGGCTACTGCTGAGCAGTGCTGGCACAGCACCAGCACTGTCTCTCCAACATTCCACCCATCAGTAGGCTGGGGGTGGGCAAGATCCTGGGAGGGGACACAGCTATGCCAGCCGACCCATATTTCACACCATATGACATCAGCTCAGATATAAAAGCTAAGGAAAGGAGGACAAAAGGGGAGGCATTTGTTATTTTCAGTGTTTGCCTTCCAGAGCTACTGCTATGTGTGCTGAAGCCCTGCTTCCAGGGAAGTGGCTGAAGACCCCTTGCTGATGGGAAGTAGACAGTAAAGCTTTTTTTTCCTCATTGCTTGTGCACGCACAAACTTTCGCTTTTGCTTTGGTGAATTGCCTTATCTCAAACTACAAGTAATTTTCCATCTTATTCTCTCTCCCCTGTCTGGCTGGGAAGGGGAATGATAGAGCAGCTTAGTGGCCACCTGACATCCAGCCAAGGTCTATCCACCACACCCATCCTCTGGGGCAGGTAGTTCCTGTCCAGGAGAAGAGGAGAATTCTTTCAGCATCTGTGCACCTCCAGGATGCTTCAGCTGCAGCTCTTGAGCTTCCTCTTTGCACCTTCCCTAGACACTGCTGGAGAAGTGAGGAATTTGCCAGTCAATTCCCCATGGAGCAGAAGATAGAATTGTAAGCTTATCAAGCTGCTGATAACAGCCTAAGTTGTCAGTCTTTGCCTATTAACAGTTTTTATATCCCAAAGTCCTTGAAGGTCTCTGCACTATCAGGGAATGTGGAGAGGCAGCAGATGCAGTTGAATGTCATATCCCTTGTGTATGGGCACAAAAGGACTCACCATCAGAACTCGTTAAGACATAACATGATATTAGACGTATTACTTCCATATAATGACCTCTCAATCATCAGTACACAAAATATCTGTGCCACAGCTTGACTCCAGATACAGTTTTAGCTAACATTCATGAATATAACTCCTTAGCTTGTTACTTGCAGCTGCCTGCCTCTGTTTCCAGGCAGCACTGCTTCTGTGCAGGGCACTGTGGCGTCCATGCTGCTGTTCCCAGTGCTCGACAGCCTGGGAAAACTTCTTAGCTTGCACCAAAGAAAGCAGCACCTCCGAAGAGGGATTTATCCCACTCCTTTTTGGGCAAGTGGAGGAAATTAATCCCTACTTCCTTTCAGATGTCAATAGAAGGATGTGCTGTGGTATATGTGATTTAGTAGCCCATAAAGGATACTGTATCCAACTCAGCTTTAGCACCCTGGCTCAGTGTCAGTTGTGCTGAAACTGGTGTGAAAGCTACAAAGATACCAGAGTGTCTCTGTGCCATTGGATCTCCGTAGTGCCTTTGGATCTGGGGAAGCAGCATCTGCTCTGCCATTGGGGCAGCAGAAAGGCAGGCAGAGTGACTCAGACAATATACTAAATCTTTATTTACATGGCTAGGACTGTGTGAGGTAGCATCTCAGCCTTTTCCCAAGGATATGTGAGAAATTTGTGGTAAAGAATGGATGCAAAGTGCTCTAGTTATTTATCCATCCTTCTGAGCTTTTGACCCTGTGAATCTGCCAGAGTGGCCATGTTGTTTGCTACAGTCCTAATTCCAAATGTAGAAAGACTGGAGGAACACTTCCCTGTTTATTTTTTCCTTTTATCAGTAATGTGTTGACTAAAGAAGATGAAGCTGAAGTATTTATTGAGCTGTAATTGCTGTAATTTTTTTAATTATCAAGAGCATCCTGAGAGAAGTTCTTTTTGTGAATCAAAATAAATGATTAAATATAGAATCCAAGGATGTGATATTTCTTTCTAGAACTGTTGGTAGTCCTGATGAAGCTAAATTGTATTGTCATATTTTAAAAAACCAGAATAATCTGCAATCTTCTTCTCTAAACTGTGGGTAAATATTAAAATACAGTCCAATTTCCTGCTATTAAAAAAAAAAAAAAAAAAAAAAGAGCATGTAGCTCTGTCCCATATTATATTTCCTGGTTTTGCATTGTGCAGATCACAACAAAATTGCATCCCTTACTTCAGAATTATGGAGTTTTTAAAAAACTCTCTATGTATTTGAATAGATTCAAGACAGTTTCTTTTTGCATATTATTCCATACCAAGGCAGACTTTTCTGATTCAAAAACCAAGCCAAAGATCTGTTATGACAGCACAAATTGCCTACTAAACATTCTGCGGCATCTTCCAGTGTGCCTTGTAAACTAAAAAGACATGGAATTATCCCTGCTTTGTGGGAAACAACTGCAAAATTAATAGTTTCATAAATGACTTAGAAAAAGCCATGGATAATTAGAGATTCACAGGGTGGTTCTGCCTCTGTCAAAGTAGAGTAGAGCTTTGTCCTTGACTCAACAGAAACAAAATCAGTCCTAGCATGGGATGGTCTGCTTCAAAACCCACCTGAAATTTGGACATGCAAACTACTATACATAGATGCTGTTAAAAAAGGGACCAGCTGTTTCACAGGCTGATGAAGATACCAGTCATGTTTGCTGTTGGCTGCAGAGGCAATTGCCTGTCTATGTCTGGTCCAGGTAAAACCAGCGTTCTTCACACAGTTAGCAGGGTAAAATAGTGAGAGCAGGACAGATGGTTTTCTTTCAAAAGCTCAATTTCTGTGAGGAAAAAAAAGGTGCCATAACAAATGCTGTTTGGTGTAACTCATCAGGATGGCTTCAGGTACTCATGTATGCATCTCATAGTAAGATGAAACCAAATAATAGAATGTATTTCTTATGAATTAAATATAGTACATGACAATTTTGGAAGGAAGAGACAGACAGCTGTTTCTGCACTTCCGTCAATTGCATGCTTGGTGCACTGATAGATTTGGGACATTAAAAGGAAGTTCTGCTTTGGTTCAGTTTCTCCTTGAGCTGCTCATTCATTGCAGGAATTCTTGTTCTTTCATCAGAAGCACCTAATCTGTATCATCAAAACCAAATTTTTTTTACAGTTTCTGAGAAAGTTCTGCTTGCCTTCTTCAGACTTGAAAGATGCCAAGTGTGTTAGAAATCTTCAGAGAATGTAGCTACCAAATTTTATCAAGTTTCTGATTGAATATGTGTGAGCAGAGCTTTGCAGGGAGTCAAGTGTAAGCAACATCACCCCAGATGTTGCAGGTTGAGAGCAGGCTCATGCGTGGACCCTCTCGCTCACCATCACTTTCATCTCCCAGTAAATGTAGTAGTCTAGTGCCAGATTTCAAAGCATACAGGCACCAGCATGTCACAGGGAAGTGTTGTGAAAGAAAGAGAGGATTGTGATGAACCCGTGTGAGTTTTCTCTAATCTCATTTCAGAAACATCTATTATTCAGCAGAAATTTTGTAAAAGTTCCACTCAGTGAACTGATCCAAAATTAAATTTTTGGGTAGAATGATTAAAGAGCATCAAAACTCAATGTAATGGCAGGTAAGATGGTTTTAGGGGAAAAATCCTACACCTTCCTTTATAGATGGTGCCAA